GGATGCTCTCTGAAATCAAATTTTGAATTTTCTTTTGGAAATCAAGGTCCCTGAATCTGGAGGAGAGGACAGACAGAGAACCCACAATGCTTGAGATCAAGTGTAAAGTTTTCAATCAGTGATGTTTGAGATGCCGTGTCATCTGCACGGGTTTAGAGCACTGCATGCTTCCTGCTGCTCACCAACTTTATTGAGATGCAGATTTCATTTTCCAACATTGCTTGGAACACAGTACTCAAGCTACCAGTACCTGGTTTAAGACCTATGGCATCAGTGTTCTTAATTAACCAGCAAACTAACACATAGGCTCTGTCTGAATGTCCGCCCTAACCCCTAATTCCCCAAACACTATATGAACTTTATAGTTGCCGCTCTATACAGTGATCACCGCCCCCCGATGTGCAATCTTTGTCATTTGTCACTGCTGTCACAAGCCCTATGATGCTTTGCAGGGAGAGCTCTTGAAAAGCAATCTGGGATACATCTGCTCGTCTAGTGAATATGAATGATCACTACTTTTCAAGGAGCATTGTGGGAAATTTGAATCCACTACTTTTTTATCCATTAGATGTTCGAATGCTCATCTAAAATGGCATAACCACTATATAGTTCCCTAAATAGTGATTAGGGCCGACATTCGGACACAGCAGAAATGTTGTGATGAGGAACCTGTAATACACCACAGCAGGCTCTGCAGAAGGGCTGAATGGCTGATCGACTCCATGCCACGCCGCATCGCTGCAGTAATCCAGACTAAAGGAACTCTGAGGACTCAGTGCTGTACATGCTCATACTTTTAATTTGGCCAAATTTTTCAATTCCTAAGTAGGCCTAGTATTCTAATTTTCCAAGATGCTGAATTTAGGGTGTTCTTAGTGGTTGATTTTCTCCAACAAATTCTCTTCAAAATTAACACACTCGAAATAGATCAGTGCGTAATGAATGAGTGTAGTATACAAGTTTCACTTTCAGAATGATATTACTGAAATAATCTTTTTCACGATATACTAATCAAGCATTGCTGTATAGTAATGACGTAAAAATTCTTCACTACTGTACTTAAGTATGTTTTGAAGTACTTTATACTACATTTTACATATACATTTTTTTTGAGAACTTTCACTTTTACTTCACTACATTTATGAACTTAATTGCAAACTTTTACTCCGATAAATTTTCAATGTTTGGTTTAGTTACTAAGTAAAAAAACGAGTGAGAGAACCTCCTGACTACAAAGTCGGGTCTTGTTCATCAACACCAATAGGATACACCTGTTTTGCAAAGCCAGTCTAAATTTATTCTACACTTGGTTTTGTATATTATTTTAAGTGAATTTAACCTTCAAAGTTTACCAAAATGTAAAAAAATGTCATTCAAACTGCACTACTTTTTACTTATACCTTTCACTAGATCACTTGAGGACATCTATTTTTACAGTAAGTCTTATACTTAAGTACAAGCCATTTCAGATACTTTAAGACTTTAACTCAAGTAACATTTCAGGCAGTGACTTGGACTTTTACCGAAGTCATATTTTGGAGAGGTACTTATACTTTTACTTGACTCCGAGATTTCAGTACTTTATACAACACTGTAATTAAGTAACCAGCACCTATAGCTGCAAATGCAACACTGCACAATACTCAAAGGAGGAAAAACTCAAACTTTACTTGACAATATGATGCTTTTGTGTTGATTAGATCCTTTTCTGATGTTCAATTTAGGATCAAAGCAGAATAAATCTTTTAGTATTCACTGCCTTATTTTAATGTCATAATGAGGCTTAAATGACAGATTTTGGGACCTTTATTTTGAAAGCAACTAGAGCTGAGATTAATCAGTTTGATCAACTAATCAAAGTTTTTGTTTATGAAGATTGACATTTTGGAAAAATTTAGATTTTTTTCCAAGGCTTCGATATCTTAATGGCAGAAGTTTATCACTTTTTGTTCATAGATGGGTACTCCAGGCTTAAAAACTAACCCACCGCGGGATACTAGAAGCTGCTAAGTTATATTTTCACTGTTGTGAAAGATTCTTTTTCTTTACAGAATTTTAACAGCTTAAATTTCATTTCTCCTTAAGTAAAGTCACCTCCCTGAGTGTCATGGTTCTTCCCATTTGGGACTCGTTTTCTGTTATTAGCTATTCGGTTTTGTTCTTTGGTTTATTTTCCATTATATTCAAGCAGTCTTTAGTTACTCTCTGTTGCCCCTTGTGCTTGTTTTCTTTACCCTTGCTTCCTTCTAGTTAGTTCCACTCATGCCTGTTCTATATTCAGCTCATTAGCCCACCCTTCGTTCTGTTCCCTTTAAATACTTCACCTCTGCAGTTACTCATCTCTGGCTGTCCACATGAGTTTTCCCCTTAAATTTCTTGGTTCTTGGCACTTGTTTTTTGGATTTTGCCTCAGTTTACTGATTAAATCTTCAAGACTCACCTTTGCCTCCTGATGTCTGCATTCGGGTCCTCGGGTAACCTCACAACCCCTTGTCCACACTGAATGATTGAAATAACAGCCATTTCTTAAAGCACTACAGTCATGGCCAAAAGTATTGAGAGTATGTGTGTATGTCAGATGTTGTCATCACATACAGAAATACAATTGCAATCATATTATGAGTAACAAAAGCTTTTAATGACAGAATGAGTTAATGCAGCAAGTCAATATTTGCAGTGTTGACCCCTCTTCTTCAGGACCTCTGCAGTTCTCCCTGGCATGCTCTCAATCAACTTCTGGACCAAATCGCGACTGATAGCAGTCCATTCTTGCACAATCAATGCTTCCATTTTGTCAGAATTCCTAGGTTTTCGTTTGTCCACCGTCTCTTGATGATTGAACACAAGTTTTCAATGGGATTAAGATCAGGGGAGTTTCCAGGCCATGGACCCAAAATCTCTATGTTTTGTTCCCTGAGCCAGTTAGATATCACCTTTGCTTTATGGCAAGGTGCTCCATCATGCTGGAAAAGGCATTGTTCATCAACAAACTGCTCTTGGACGGTTGGGAGAAGTTGCTCTCGGAGGACATTCTGGTACCATTCTTTATTCATGGCTGTGTTTTTAGCTAAGACTGTGAGAGAGCCGACTCCCTTGGCTGAGAAGCAACCCCACACATGAATGGTTTCAGGATGCTTTACAGTTGGCATGAGACAAGACTGGTGCCTTGTCTAAATGACTTTACCCCAGTCCTTTTGCAGTCCTTTTTACTGTACCTTTTGCAGAATATCAGTGTGTCCCTGATGTTTTTCCTGGAAAGAAGTGGCTTCTTTGCTGCACTCCTCGAGACCAGGCCATGCTCCAAGAGTCTCCACCTCACATTGCGTGCAGATGCACTCACACCTGCCTGCTGCCATTTCTGAGCAAGCTCTGCACTGCTGGTAGCCTGATTCCGCAGATGAAACACTTTTAAGAGACGGTCCTGGCGCTTGCTGGTCTTTCCTGGGCACCCTGGAGCCTTTTTGGCAACAATGGAACCTCTCTCCTTGAAGTTCTTGATGATGCGATAGATTGTTGACTGAGGTGCAATCTTTCTAGCTGCGATTCTCTTTCCTGTTAGGCCATTTTTGTGCAGTGCAATGATGACTGCACGTGTTTCTTTAGAGATAACCATGGTTCACAGAAGAGAAACAATGATGCCAGGCACCAGCCTCTTTTTAAAGTGTCCAGTGGTGTCATTCTTACTTAATCATGACAGATTGATCTCCAGCCCTGTCCTCATCACCACCCACACCTGTGTTAATGGAGCAATCACTGAAACGATGTTACCTGGTCCTTTTAAGGCTGGGCTGCAATGAGGTTCAAATGTGTTTTGGGGGATAAAGTTCATTTTCTAGTCAAATATTGACTTTGCAATTAATTGCCGTTACGCTGATCACTCTTTATAACATTCTGGAGTATATGCAAATTGCCTTTATAAAAACGAAGCAGTAAATAATATTTAAATAATTCTTTTGGCCATGACTGTATATTTGATTTGCATTTTTTTATTATGAAACATAAGAAAAAAAAATGGGAATAATTGGCTTTGGTAGGAAAAAAGAAGTGACATCTACCAGCCCTTAAAGCCACCTTTTCTCCAAATAATGAAAGATAAACAGCAATTAATAGGAGGGGCATTAATAGGAGTGATAAACACGTTACTGAGGGTGCACTGACTGATCGGCATGGCGATCTTATCTACCAGTGTAAAACTCTTAAACTTATCCCCTTAAATGTTCTATACTTTGTATTTATAAAAGTTATTTAAAAAGTTTTTATTGTTTAATGTTGTTTTGAGGATAAAAGTGAAATATTTCATGTGTCTGACGATCTTACAGTAAGTGCAAAGCATGTCAGGCTTTTTAAACATCAGTAAATAGTCAGAAATCATTGCACTCTTAAATAATTAAACATACATTTGGAACAGATCCATTTAAACAAACTTTATTTGTTTTTATTTCCATTAGATCCAAAACTCCACTGAAGTCTTAATTTTCAAGATCTAAACTCCGGACTTCATGAAACAGGAAGCCCTTAAAAAGGTCAAAGTCTAACTGGTCCATATATTTACAGTACAGCTTCATATTCAAATGACAGCCGGGCGTGAATCCTTGCAGGAGAAGATTCAGAGTCTTTCCGTAGGCATGAATGATCATCGCTAAACAGAAGGCCCTATTTCACCACAGTGACAACATGCTTCTCCTTCTCAGACACCAGAGGGACGCTTCCTGGTTTGCTGTGCTTCCGGACGTTCATCTCCCTGAAAAACAACAACAGAGACATCATGAATAACTCAAAGTGTAGTTGAGAACAATCAGGACGGGACAGAGAGAGGAGGGAGGGGGGGGAAGCAGAGCAAACAAAGAGGAGGACGGAGGAACAGATTGACTGTATGACTCTAGAGCTAACAGTTATATCACACCCTTTCTGAAACTAATGCATAAAGCGAAGATTTGAAAATCACTGGCATCGCTGCGGCTGATGATTCACTGGAGGGCAGGGCAGAAGCGGGAAAATCAATCCACCATCCGAGCTGTAAATGAGTATGTAATGCCTGTTGTGGCTACGTCATAGTGCTCCGTCCCATCTGTGAAATTTTCCATTAAGCCGGTGAAACTGCGTAGGTCACACCTTTCCCTGGCACGAGCCCAAACACCCGCCTCCCTTAAAGGAACGCAGAGGGGATTCCCATGATTTCTGCCACGCTGTTACAGAGTGAGAGGAACCGGATACGCACTTTCGACGGCGAGCCTCCTTCATGATCCTCAGCTCGTTCCTCTGGTGGTAGATGTTCTTGGGTAGATGTCTGTGGCGGGCGATGCGCTTGATCTGCGGGTGGTGCTGGAACTTCTCCTTCAGCTTCTGGCTGTAGTTAATGGCTGCTTTCTCTCTGGGGGCCAGCTGCATCAAACCAGAGAGAGAACAACAATCTGCATCAGCAGCCTTTTAAGTACAATTGTTTCCTTAGAAATTACTGAAATTCTCAGCGCCTTTTTTAAAAATCCGGTGAGATTAAATTAAAACTTTAATTTGATCAAGAAGTGACACTGACATGTGGCTGATTTCCTGACTTGAATCTTGCAGATACTTGGACGGTCATCACCAGGAAACCAGCAGAAAGAGGGTATCATAGCTTCAATACCAATAAATATTTGTCGATATATTAGGGCTGAAACGATTTATAGGATTAATCGATTATTGAAATAATCATCAACTAATTCAGTAATCGATAACTGGAGTATAGAGACTCTAAAACATGCCTTTAGCCGACAGAGTAACCCACTTAGAGTAGTAATTATACCAAAACAGTTTAAAAACATATTTAAAATGTATCATTTAAGATAAAAAAAAATTAAAAAAATAACTTTTTGTCCGTCAAAATGCCTAATCAGGAACTCTTCATCTGGTTTAATCTGTAAAAGATCTAATTAAGGGAGCTTTAGCTGTCTGAATATTAATGGATTAATAGCAAAAACAATTTGCAGATGTGAAGTTTAGGGGAAACTGACTCTTGCGAAAGAATGTTCAAATTTATTTAACGTCGTTAGACGGGGAGATAGAGCTCCGACTGGGGCAAAGCTCAGTACATACATTTATACAGCAACTCCCAATACACACACTCTCCCTTGGAACTATCCCACCACTAAATAAAGAACTTTCTCACACGCGAACATTTGGAGGCAAAATAACTTGAGTTAATCATGGGTCACTCTGTTAGGTTAATATGTCTTTCACTGGTCTGATGGATCTCCTCAAAAAAACGGTCCTCCCCTTCATGCGATTACCCTTATCCCATCAACGTTACCATAAATTTGACGGACAGATGACCGTTGATATACGATTGGCTGAATTTAGGTGTTCAGGCTGACATATAACTAACTGGCCTACATAAGATAATGAAGAAATAGAAATTTTCTACATTTTGGGACAATATCGTCTGATAAAGATTGCATTTATATTCATGTTTAAGCCAGAATTGTTTCACATTTAGGCTGCTTAGTGGTGCAGTGGGTAGCACAGGTTTGATTCCCAGCCTGGGGTCTTTTTGCATGGAGTTTGCATGTTTTCCCTGTGCATGTGTGGGTTCTCTCCGGGTACTCCGGCTTCCTCCCTCTGTCTAAAAGCATAAATGTTAGGTTAATTGGTTTCCCTAAATTCTCCTTAGTGAGTCATACTGAAAAAGTTTTTAAAAAAACAATCCACTGGACTTTGTTTCTAAGGCTTGAAGATTTTAAGACATGATTGGAAACAAAGTCCAGAGAATTGTTTTTTAAACTTTTTCAGTATGACTATCACCTGAAGGACTGAGAATCTTCACCAGCTCCTTAGTGAGTGTGTGCATGAATGGTTGTACGTCCTGTTTGTCTCTGTGTTGCCCTGCGATAGACTGGCGACCTGTCCAGGGTGTACGCTGCCTCTCGCCTGTAGACAGCTGGAGATAGGCACCAGCACCCCTTGCGACCCCGTTTGGGATAAAGCGTGTCAGAAAATAGATGGATGGATTTGACATTTAAATATTATTTCCCTACGACTATCTTATATTAAATAATATTTAATATTATTAAAGTAAAATAAATGATACTTTTTTGGTTGCAACAATAATGGTACAACTTTGACTCCATACTAAATCTGCAGTTAGAAAGAAGTTGGAAATTGGTACTTTATGCTAAATAAAATCAATTTACATGCAAAAGTTACAGCCAGAGTTCAACTCAGCAGGTATTTTTTTTATCATAAATACTGATACTAATAATTTTAGCTCAAAACATATGCATTTAAAAACAAACCAATGCCTGATAAAAAAAAAGCAAAACCACCAGCTCAACAACATCCCTACCTCTGCTTGGCTCATAAAAGCCACCATCTGGCCCGACGTTTCTCCTCAGAGGCTTTTATTCTAATTAAAAGCAATGATTTGTCTCAGATTCAATTTGTGGGGAAAGAGTTGATAGATGCTGATCCTGTTGTACTAAACTAATCCCCCTGAACACAAAGATTATGAGACTCCTAAACACTATCAGAGGTCTGAAAAATTTGATTAGCAGAAAATGATGATCAAGGCCCCAATGATCCAAACCAGAAGCTGATCGAAGACTAATTAGGATCAGAGCAACTCTTTAGCTGCCTGCGCAGGAGAAAAGTTACCCACAACCACTGAACAGTTCAGTCATGGCTCATGGTTTGGGCTGTTAAATCTCATTTTCAAATTTCACATTGCTGTTTTATCATTAACAGATGGAGCCAAAATCTTTCGCAAAGTGTTCAGGAAGTCCAAGCCCATTTCTCAATATGTGCACTTGTGCGTTCTCGTGTACTCGTGAAACGTCATCATCCTCAGCCCTAGTACTGTTCCAATTCACAAGAACAGAAGACCGAGAACGGACAAAGTCCCCGGATGTTGTTCTCGCCCCTCCCTCTTTACCCAGCATGCATCAGAGCAGACTTGTCCTTTCTTGAGATTGACAGCTGTCCCATCATGCACTGCAGCAGCAGCAGCTTTCAATGGAGCGCTCACAGAGCTCAGAGTATTAAGTTAAAACTTCTCTTTTCTGTTGCTGTTGAATAAAAGTACATTTAAAGATTATTTGAGGCGAGAACATTATACTTTTAAGTGTCACTATATGGCCCTTTTACCGATTTAATGCGTAGTTTCCTAAGTTGAGATCACCGCAGCAACCAGCAGACCTCCGAGTCCAACAGCAGCCAGGTCTAATCCCATCCCGTCTGCAGCAGCCCTCTCTCTGCATAACCGTGCGTGAAGGACCGCTGGCTCTGATGGCAAGTTTTTTGTTTTATTTAGCAAAATGTTTATTTGATTTGTGCTTGTCTGACTTTGTTAATTATTATTCGCCCAATAAATGAAGAAAGTAAGAATTTATTATCTAGAGACTATTAATAACAGGAGGTGAAATGCAGCTCCAGACGAGCTGAGCGTGTGGTGATGTCATCATCAGCTTCTTTTCCAATTGATCCATATTTATGCTGCGTGCTCCCGTTTTCCAAGAGTCCAGACTTCCCTGCGTTCTTCTCAAAAACATACTTGGCGAGGACATGAGTCCATTCTCGCGTTCTTGTGAATTGTGAAACGGCAAAAAGAGGTTCCAGGTGCTCTTTGTTCCTCTATTCAAACAGAACTGTTACCACCAGAGCAGAGCTTGCTCAGCATTGGCAGTAGGTCATCAGCTCTGTGAATGTGTTCTACATAATCTGTGGGAAAACAGCCGATTTCCTCTCTGCTCTCTTTGCTCTGAATGGAAAACTGGGCTTAGAAAAGTAGGGAGAGACTAACGCCAGCTTTCACTGCTGCCCTGGGACAGTAACCCCAAAATCCCACATCCTCCGTGACCGCCCCTCTATGGTTCCCCCCCCATCTTGCTTTGCTCCAACTTCCTTGGAGCTCAAGGAGAGCATGCACAATATTACCGTTATTAAACTCGTAGGAGCAAAACTTGCGGATATGAACGCTTTATTTAATACGAGATATAAAAAATATCTCCATTAGCATCCAGCAGATGTGCAATTTCTGCCCAAATATTTTCTTTTAGGTGTAGATTTTTGTAAAAAGGATAATTAGGATCATACAAAATTGGTTTGCATGAACTATGATTGTTCTTTACTTCCACCTCAGCATCTCTTCATCCAGGCCTGCGAAAAGAAGTTTGTTTTGAAGTAGATCTGACAATTTTTTTTTTGAAGAAAGCAAATAAATTGGTCTTAAGAGTCCCTAAATATTAGGGGTGAGTATTGGCATGGGTGTTGCTATACGACAGAGGTCACCAACCTTTTTACAGCTGAGGGCTAATTCAGGGGCACTGAGTCACAGGAAGGGCTACCAATACTGACCTATGAATGGCAAGGGTCAACGTTCACCTAAACTTTATACATCATAAACATATCTTTATTGTTTCTTTAAATTTATAATTTTCTTTTAGACACTATCATTTTGAAATCTCTATAAATGCTTAAATGCCATATATGATTAAATGATGAAATGTTCTATAACCCAATTAAAAAAAGAAGAGCAACAGAATACAGTGAAATTTCAAACATAGTTCACTGTTGAGTTGTTCTATTTTCAGAAGACTCTAAGGGCACCCCTTGTGGTCCTTGAGGGCCCCTTGGTGCCCGCGGGCACCATGTTGGTGACCCCTGCTAGACGATATGGGTCAAGATACAGAATAAAATGGAAAAGAAAATGCCTTTATTGTCCCACAATGGGGAGATTCTGGTGTTTACAACAGCAAAAAGATTATAGAAAAAAAGGTCACAAATGTGGACCTTAGAAAAATGTATAAGAATAACATTGGGCTACCATTTAGCTGCCGTTTGACTGGGAGGCGCCATTTTGAATGGCTGCTACTGTAGCAGAAAATTTGCAAAATTGACCACACTGGTCTTTAGTTTTCCTTCATTACAAAGAGTATGCTGCATCGCCACTAGTTAGCTTCATACATGAACCAGCTTCACAGCAATACGGACAAAAACCTGCAGCGTTGTTCTCAAAATATTTCACATTAAAAGTCGCTTAAACTTGGATTATGCTTAGAATAAGTGGACATTGCTTTAGCATTTTTTTATTCATTCTGAAGGCGTGGAGGCTTTTATTTTGCTGTGGCGGGACCCCGTAATCAATTACATGTAGCCTAAATCCTGAAGTTATACCAAAAAAATAAAAATAATAATAATAAAAAACAGGATTGTTTCTTTGGACGGTGACTCCTTTACTGTACAGGAGTCACCGTCCTGTGCGGCATGGAGACTTCCTGCATCACTGAAAACATGATGGACCTGTCTACATTTAGCAGCTTTTAGCCTTTAACAAAAAAATATAATAAAGGGTTTTCACATTACTTGAAATAAACAGACAAATTAAAGATACATATTTGGCCTTAAAGCTGTAGCCTCAGTCCGAACAGTCTGTTGGTCCAGAATGATCCCTTCAGGCACCAGCAAAGCTTTGATTCAGCATCTCCGCATCTCTTGATAATTAAAGACCCCCTCCTCTCTGTATAACTTCCCTGTTAATGTTTCATTATGTTCAGAGTGGCCTCTGTTTAAGTGATTGGCCGATTTCAAAGTGCTGATAGGAGCAGCACTTGTCTGATCTATTTAAGTGCAAGGCCTGTGAATAACTCTTCCTTTGCACAGGGAAGGTAAAACAAGAGCCAAAAGCAGCCCATTTCCACTACTGCGCTGCATTAAGAGAATAATCTGATTAGGAGTAAAAGATGCTGCTGGAGATGGCCCACACATCATCTTAGTAATTCAGCTGTAAGCTGGAATTTGAGGCAATAGAAAAGCCCAACAAGGCCCATGTTACCGCTTAGAATAAAATATCACAGTAAAGTAATAGTTTATGTTAATGTAAGCAGGAAAAGAAAAGCTACTAAATGTTTCTGAATTGTTGTCCTGAGTTCTTTTCAACAGGAGCCATCGTGCCAACTGGAATATTGCACTTATAGAGAGTGATTATAGCCTAAGTCAGCATCCATCAGTGTGTTTGGCAACAGCGGCGCAGTAGATCCAGGCAGAGCCGTCCCCTGTTACAGCACAGAGGTGGGCGGCGAGCCAAGGCGGGGCAGAAGAATGCAGCCAATTCATAAAACCAAATCAAGTCATAAACCGGAGGGAGATACAAGATATCTGACATCTGGGTGGGGGGGACGCAGCTGCTGATCAGCATGTAGACACCACCATTAGTAATGACCCTCACAGCCTGCCAACAGGAAATGGAGAGAAAATAAAAAATAAAAAGGCACTCACCATTCCCAGTTTCTCAGCTGCGTTAGCCTTCCACAGTCGGATATTCATTTCATCCGACCCGCTCAGGATGTACCGGTTGTCTGCCGACCACTTGACGCAGATGACATGCTGCATGCGTTTGGTGTGGTACACTTCTCTGTAAATTCATAGCACACCAATAAATCCTCTAAAGCTTCAAAACAGACACGTTTTAAAGCAGAACAGAGTTCGGTTTTGATTTAATCTGTTGAGGATAAACTGTTCATCACTGACCTGCTGTGTCCTGCGTCTTTAGGGAAGATGCGAATGGTCTTGTCGAAGCTAGCAGAAACAAACTCCTGTCCGGTTGGAGCGTAGTCCACGTCCAGCACGGCGGAGACGTGGTCCATGTGCACTTTGAAGGGCTTCTCCAGGTACCTCATGTCATATGTGTAAAGGCTGGGAAATACAAAATAAGCAGAGCTTTAGGAATGACGCTTCAATAGGAAGACAGATGTATAGGCTACCAAAATAATCTAACAATAAAAAAAGAAACAGCAAGAAATTTGAATCCTTTTAACTAGTTAGCCAGACTGCATTAAAAGCAGTTTTTTTAAATAAATTATTAACAACATTTAAGCTGCTTCATATCAAATACAATTCAACTAAAATATGAACAAAGCTAAAATACCCTCACACATAAAACAGTCTGTACACTTCAAAAAAGGAAAATCTATACAAGTGT